AACTTAAAAGCCAGAGCAGAAGAGTAAAGCTTTGTGGGGCTGTTAACTTTCAGCTATCAAATATCAATTAATTGTGGATTTTAGCTGATGTGGTAACTTGGATATACTTTTTACCCAAGATATTGGGTTATTTACTGTTGGGTTTTGGTTTCTACCTGCAACGATAGAAGTAGTTAACTCTCAAGTTGCTGTGCATATACCGTAGTTGCAGTTTTTCTTCCATTGTATTTATTGAGTGACTAGCTACTTAACTTTATAAAGCTAGAATAATCTGAGCTATGAAATGGAAAAAAATATTTTATATTCCTGTAAACCAAAAATAGTTCCAGCCTTCAAGAAGTTCTTTCCCAAACGGACTTTGTATCTCCAGCTGCAGACTGGGGAAAAGTAGCTGTTTACACGTTACTGAAGGGTTAAATTGTGCAATATAAAATAGAGACTCCCCCTTATAAAAACAGAAATCTGGTGCACAAACCAGGAGCAACAAATGGAAGAGAAGAAAAGAGAAGTAAGGCATAACATTTATGGTGCCTTGCATAGTCCCTCATCTGGGTTTGAAACACAGCATTCTTTTACAAACACTCCTATAAAATATGCGGGCCACGAGATCCAATATTTGGCTATCAGCTATAGCGTTTATTATAATCATCCTCCTTGGCCTGTAAGCAAAGGAAATCTTTGACTCCTGAACAGAGCCCTAGAGGAAGAACTGCTTTATCTACTTACCTTTTATAAACACAAAAACTCAGCTGCTAGAATCTAGAGGCAAATTAGCTAAGAGCAGTTTTGAAAACCTAATGGCTGCTTTAAGGCCACTTTAGAGTTAGTTAACTTGATTCTCTATTTACTTGCCTTAGAATTAGATGCTCAAATAAAGGAGGCGGGGAGGGGAGGCAGGAAGATGCTGCAGGGATTAGAAAGCAGCAGCATTAAGCTGCGAAGGGTCCAGCTCGCGACGACACCGCAGTGACATGCTTCAAGGCAGCTCGGGTCAAGCTAACATTGGCCACTCAAGGGGGGAGACTCGAGGGTGGGGCGAGCAGGGGGGACAGATGACCCAGAGCTGGCCTCACAGTCTCCCAGCCCCTTCCTTCCCCCCATGGCCCAGGCTCCTTCCCTGCCGCAGGGTGCCCGCCCCTCTCCAGGTGCCAGAGTCCCCCAGCCTAGGCCAGTGGGTGCGTGTGGGTAACACAACACCCACCTCCCCCAGCCGCAGCCGCCCCACCCGGTGCCTTTACCTGCCTGGGCTTCCCCCTCCGGGCGGGGACATTAAAGGAGCCACCGGCCCCGGCTCGGCTCACACACGTGGTGCTCCACCCCCCGCTTCCTCCTTCCGCCCTGGTCGCAGGCTGCTGACGCTCCGCTTCCCTCCCTCCCCATGAGCCCTCTGCGCCGGAGCGAGCTGGCACCTGCCGGCCCAGCAACCCCGCCGGGAGCAGAGTCAGTGCGGGGAGCCCGGCCCCCTGCCACCTCCCCGGCAGCGCTGCAATTCCGGACCCCGCTCCCGGCACGTGGGGACCCGGGGACAGCCCCGCCCCAGGGAGCAGCCCGAGTGCCCCCCCCCAGCTCCTGGCCGGGACGGGGGAGACTCCCCCATTCTGGGTTCCCTGTAAGGCGCATTTTTAAAGCGCTCCTATCAGCAGGAGGTTTCTGCGGTGGGCTTGTCTCGGGGAGGATCAGTCCTCAGCAGGGCTTAAATTGTGGGCGGGCTGAGCCCGGCACTTCTAGGCTTAGCAGTTCATAGCCCCCCCCCCCCCGCACGGCTGGGTTTGCCATGTAAGTTCTTAAAGTACAAGAAAATTGCTTGAGCCCTGGTTCCTCTTTCATTACCAGTTAAGCCCTGGTCCTGGGAGTCTCACTCACATCAGAGCCTGAGCTGTCATTGCAGGGGTCTCTCCCTTATGCACCCGCCCCCTAAACCAAGAGCCACAGGGATGAACTCACCGGAGTTGGCTGTGTGTTCAGATCTAATCTGCCCACTCTTGCTCAACTGGAGGAAGAGGGAACGGGCTCATTCTGGATCCCTTGAAAGGGCGTATTTAATAGTATCTCCCTGTGCTGATGAAGGACTTTGCATTGTGTTTCAATGAGACTTTAGAGGACATTGAATGAAAGAACACTGAAGTAGTCTGGGTCCAAAATGTAGTGGCTGTATTAAAAGAACAGATTTTACTAAACTTATTAGTAATATCATTTTTTCCTGAAATAAAAAAAAAATCAACAGGCTTTTGCAACATTTTGCTAGTGCATGAAAGTGAATTTGCCTAGTTTGTTTTCATTCTGGTTGGCCCATGAAATGCAACAGGATTCTGATCCCACACTGAGCTCTGTGCAGGCAGCTTCCTGCACCCACACAGAGCCTCAGTGACTTATTCTTTCAATATTAATAATGATACTTACCTCCTTTGTAAAATGCTTTTCTATGGAGCCCACTTCAATGGGATCAAGATTTCATGCTAACTATTCAGGAAAATAGGCAGAATTCAGAAATAAGTTCTCTAGAATACATTGCTATTATACAAAGGATCTAATTCTGGGAAAGAGCTGATGACAACTAGCCATTACATAGGCTATAGGGAAAAAAGACATTAATTCAGGAGAAATAGAATCAATGTTCTAAAGACCAAGAGTGATAAACTCTCACCATCACCTAAATTGCATGTTAAAGGTTTAAATAGTGTGTAGACCAGTGGTCTCCAAACTGTGGGGCACGCCCCACAGGGGAGCATGGAGGAATATTTGGGGAGGGCACAGCGGGACCCAGGCCGGTCCCCATTGGGGCAGGGAGGGAGTGCCACCTAGCCTCACTCCGTCCCCATTCCGCTCCCGCCCTGCCTTCAGCTGCAGCTCTGGCCACAGCCTTGTCTCCCAGCCCCAATCACAGCACACAGGCCCCAGCCATGACCCCACTCCCAGCCCTGGCTCCTGACCCCAGCCACATTCTGGACCCGGCCCATGGCTCTGGCCCTGCTTCCAGCCATGCCTCCTGACTGTGCTTCTTCTGGGGGCATGGACAGGTTTCATTATGGATAAAGGGGGGGGGGGTGATGGAAAAAGTTTGAAGATCACTGGTGTAGACCTATACATGGGCCTGTGGCAATGGGAAATTTCTCTGTAGAGAGGAAAGAGTAGAAGAATACTTCATTTTCTGTTTGCAAAGGAGCCCCAGAGACCTTGAATGGGAAGGGTACACACAAATAGAAAGCACTTGAGCCATCTTGGGGTATGTCTACACTACAAAATTAGGTCGATTTTATACATGTCGATTTTTAGAAATCGATTTTATACAATCGATTGTGTATGTCCCCACTAAGCGCATTAAGTCGGCGGAGTGTGTCCACAATACTGTGGCTAGCATCGACTTCTGGAGCGGTGCACTGTGAGTAGCTATCCCACAGTTCCCGCAATCTCCACTGCCCATTGGAATTCTGGGTTAAGCTCCCAATGCCTGATGGGGCAAAAACATTGTTGAGGGTGGTTTAGGGTACATGTCATCAGTCGCACTTCCCTCCGTGAAAGCAATGGCAGACAATCACTTTGCGCCTTTTTCCCTGAGTTACCCATGCAGATGCCATACCATGGCAAGCATGGAGCCCGCTCAGCTCACCGCTGCTGTTGTGAGCATTGTAAACACCTCGTGCATTATCCTGGAGTATGTGCAGAACTGGGCTAAGAGAGCTAGCACAAGGATGATTGTGATGAGGACATGGACACAGATGTTCCTGAAAGCATGGGCTGTGGCAATTGGGACATCATGGTGGCAGTGGGGCTGGTTGATACAGTGGAACGTCGATTCTGGGCCCAGCAAACAAGCACAGACTGGTGGGACCACATAGTGTTGCAGGTATGGGATGATTCACAGTGGCTGCAAAACTTTCGCATGTGTAAGACCACTTTCCTTGAACTTTGTGACTTGCTTTCCCCCACCCTCAAGCGCAGGAATACCAAGATGAGAGCTGCCCTGACAGTTGAGAAGCAAGCGGCTATAGCCCTGTGGAAGCTTGCAAAGCCTGACTGTTACCTGTCAGTTCGGAATCAATTTGGAGTGAGCAAGTCTACTGTGGGGACTGCTGTGATCCAAGTAGCAAATGCAATCACTGACGTTGTGCTATCAAGGGTAGTGACTCTGGGAAATGTGCAGGTCATACTGGATGGCTTTGCTGCAATGGGGTTCCCTAACTGTGATGGGGAGACAGATGGAACACATATCCCTGTCTTGGCACTGGACCACCTTGCCAACCAGTATATAAACCGCAAGGGGTACTTCTCAATGGTGCTGGAAGCACTGGTGGATCACAAGGGATGTTTCACTGACATCAGCGTGGGATGTCCGGGAAAGGTGCATGACGCTCACATCTTTAGGAACTCCTGGCTGTTTGAGCAGTTGCAAAAAGGGACTTACTTCCCAGACCAGAAAATTAAAATTGGGGATGTTGAAATGCCAATAGTAATTCTTGGGGACCCAGCCTACCCCTTGCTCCCATGGTTCATGAAGTCGTACACAGGCAGCCTGGACAGTAGTAAGGAGCAGTTCAACTGCAGGCTGAGCAAGTGCAGAATGGTGGTAGAATGTGCCTTTGGATGTTTAAAGGCCGCTGGCGCTGTTTGTTGACTAGATTAGACCTCAGTGCAACCAACATTCCCATTGATATTGCTGCTTGCTGTGTGCTCCATAATATCTGTGAGAGTAAGGGGGAGACGTTTATGGCGGGTGGGAAGTTGTGGCAAATCGCCTGGTGGCCGATTTTGAGCAGCCAGACACCAGGGCGATTAGAAGAGCACAGCTTGGTGTGCTGCGCATCAGGGAGGCTTTGAAAACCAGTTTCATGACCGGCCAGGCTACGGTGTGACAGCTGTGTGTGTTTCTTCTTGCTTCAAATCCTCCCCCTTTGTTGATTTTAATTCCCTGTTAGCCAACCACCCTCCCCACTTCGATCACAGCTGGCAAAGGAAATAAAGTAACTATTGTTTTGAAACCATGCATTCTTTCTTTATTAATTAAAAAAAAAGTGAGATAACTGACAAGATAGCCTGGGTGCGGTGGGGTGCGGGAGGAGGGAAGGACAAGGCCACATTCCTTATTGCAGCCACACTACAAATCAAAACTGTTTGAATGACAGCCTTCTGTTGCTTGGGCCATCCTCTGGAGTGGAGTGGCTGAGTGCCCAGAGCCTTCCCCCCTCCCTGCGTTCTTGGGCATCTGGGTGAGGAGGATATGGAACTTGGGGAGGAGGGCAGGCAGTTATACAATGGATGCAGCGGGGGGGTCTGTGCTCTTGTTGGCTTTCCTGCAGCTCCAACAGACACTTCATCATGTCCGTTTGCTCCCACATTAGCCTCAGCATCACCTCCTGCCTCTGCTCTTCATGCTCACTTAGTGTTTCCTGGCCTCTGCCACTGAATGCCTCCATGCATTAAGCCCGATCAGTGAGGGAGGACTGCATGATCTCAGAAAACATGTTATCATAAGTGCTTTTTTTTTTGCCTTCTAATCTGTGATAACCTCACGGATGGAGATGATAGGGGGAGTATAGAAACATTTGCACCTGGGGGGAGATAAAAAGGGAGAGTAAAATTTAAGATGATACATTTCTGAGAACAAAAGGGAGGCTCTTCCACAGTGAATCAAGCAATTCACAGCCGACAGCACATGTGCTTTATGTACAAGGTCACATTTTGCCTTTTATATTGAGCACCTCCCAGTATGGTGACACATCACAAATGGCTGGGCAACAGAATTCGGTTTTCAGGCAGCCATGGTAAGCCTTTTGCAGGTGTTCACGGACAGTGGTGCGGTAGTAGTAGGGTCCCTGCCTAGAATGTCATGCAGCTGATCATAGAAGTGGCATGTATGGGGCTGTGACCCGGAGCAACCGTTTGCCTCCTTTGTCTTTTGGTAGGCTTGCCTGAACTCCTTGACTTTCACGCGGCACTCCTGTGTGTCCCTGTTGTAGTCTCTCTCCACCATGCCCTGTGCGATTTTGGCATATATATTAGCATTTCTTCTTTTTAATCGGATTTCGGCCTGCACAGATTCTTCTCCCCATACAGCAATCAGATCTAGTGTCCCCCTTTTACTCCATGCTGGAGCTCGTTTGCGATTCTGGGGGGGACTGCATGGTCACCGGTGCTGCTGAGCTCACCAGGCTGACCAAACAGGAAATGAAATTCAAAATTTCCCGGGGCTTTTTCTGTGTACCTGGCTAGTGCATCGGAGTTCAAAGTGCTGTCCAGAGTGGTCACATTAGAGCACTCTGGGATAGCTTGCGGAGGCCAATACCGTCGAATTGCATCTGCACTACCCCAAATTTGACCCAACAAGGGTGATTTTAGTGCTACTCCCCTCGCCAGGGAGGAGTACAGAAGTTGATTTTAAGAGCCCTTTAGGTCAATGGAACGGGGTTGGTTGTGTAGATGCATTCATTTTTAAATCGACCTAACGCGGCTAAATTCGACCTCACCCCGTAGTGTAGACCAGGGCTTGGAGTTGTAGATTCTTGTCTATGCTGGCAAGGCAGATAATCCTATACATTTTTCTTCATTAACTAATAATTTATAATACACAATAGTTAAGGCAAAAAATCTTGTAGGTATCTAATGCAATAACATTTTGAAGCAATGAGCAGAGAATTGGGCATTAAGTAAAAGGATCAAGGACTGCGGGTGGACCTGAAACCTAATGAAATCATGATCAGTGCAAACTCGGATGGAAGCTCTGTCTATGGGAAAGAACTGATGAACCTCCACCCTTTTCCCCTTTAAATCAATGGGAGCTTTACCGTTGCCGTCAGCAGGAGCAGGAGCAGTTGTCTGGTTTACCTCTTGAGCCAACTATGCCTGTTCAAATACAACTGTTTTTTAACCAGTTTGTTACACCCTCCTCTGACCAGGACATAACAAATGCAGTTTCTTAGATTGTGTTACCCCAGATATCCTGCAGCCTTTCTGCCTTACAACCATATGGCTGTATGTCTGCACCTACCACATTGCGTAACTATTTTGGAGTAATGGCATTCTGGGAAAAGGTGGTTGTTCGAAGAATTGATCCAGCAAGGGAATTGCCAGCCCCCAGCTACCTTTAACTTCAATGAGAGCTGTTAATGCTCAGCAACTCACAGGAGGTGCTCAGCTCTTCGCATGAATGGGCCGAAGATGACAAAACATTTGAAACAAATTGCCAATAAACATGCCAAATGTGATAGTCAGGCAGGTATATTTAATGGTTAAGATAAATTTATCCTCCATTTGTGTGGGAAGAGAAGTTAAGTTAAACAAATGCAGCAACAGCCAAATCCTTCCAGTATATTGATCCACATACATTCTGGCTTGTTTTCAAAGTACTGTTTTATGGCAATTTATAACCCAGCTTGCCAGCTCAGGAATTGGACACAAAACTGTTGGGGATGGTAGTTCACCATCTATGGCTGTCTCCTCTGTTCTGGATGTTCTTCTGAATGCTCAAGGAAATGTTTACCCTGTAATTCTCCAGACTCATCTTAGGTTTACCTGGGTCATTTCAGAAGATGGGTAACATGCATCTCCTTTTGAACTCATATACAGACAACTTTTCTAATTAAGCCACTTAGGAAGTTCACTGTGCGGCCTGTGTCTGACTTCCCTTAAATTCTCAACCATCTAAAGCTCAACATTGAAATATCTGGGATCATTACCCCACATCTCCATCTTGGGCTGCATTACTGCAACCTACTGTATAAATCAGCAAGCATCAGGACGTTAATTACTCCATTATATAAGGCAATATAATGCTGCCATTATTGCAGCTGGATAAGCAAATACGGGCTTACCTGAAGAAAATATTGTTTTTCAGCAGATGAACTAGATATAATGGTCAGTCACTGTCTGTTGACGCATTAGCTTTAGTCTACTGAACAACACTTACAATTAAGCCACTGGGGACGTCTGGGGAGGGCGGGGGGGTTGACGTAACAGAAAGACTATGGATCCAATGTAGGCAAAATTCTCAGCAAATCTCAAAATTCTAGGTGATCCAAAGATAGCTAAGTCAGATGGGACCACTTCTGTCATATTGACTACAAGAAATTTGCCAAATAATGAAGGACAGAATGAGGGACTATTGAGTACAGTTCATATGTATTTATTATACATATGAATTGTACATAGTTTGACTCCTTCTCCCCCACCTTTTGCATGTTGCTTGTCTTCTTCAGATGAAAGCTTTGTAGGGCAGGGATCGTCTCTCTCCCTGTGTGTTGATGATGCTTAGCAGATCAAGGGCTCTGATGGAATATAAAATAATAATAAATAATAATTATAATAATAGTGATATTCCTTCTTCTAGAATATTGGAAGGGAAAGAGTGTGTCTAGTGATTAGAGCAGGGGCCTTGGAAACAGGTCTTCTAGCTCTGCACTGAGAAGCTGCATGACATTGAGCAAGTTAACCTCTCTATGCCACAATTTGCTTATCTAAAAATGGGTATAATAAAGGATGATTTCTTGCCTAAGTGTTCATTTGATGGAAAAACATCAACATATACAGAGCCCACCAATGGGACCTGTATATGTTGATGTTTTTCCATTGTTGGTGTGGAAACAGGGAGTGAAGCCAAGCAACAGCAGATTGAATGAAAGAGTTATAAAATTCTTGCTGAAAATGAAAAATAGGGTTAGCAATGATGCAATGAAGATCATGTGACCTTATCCGTGAATAACCTAAAACTGACCTTTGTAACATAATGGATGCCCAGTGGGATGCATAAGGCTGGAATTAAAGAGAATTATCACAGCTGGAGCTGTTACCAGAGGAGAAGAGTGCATAACAATTCTGGGAAGAAATCAGAGACCACAGAAATACAATATTAAATTACTGGTGTATTATTCTTTATATTTATTATTATTAATATAGCACCAAACATGTTCTTGGCACTTTGCACCAAATGATCCAGAATCCGAATTATACATGACATTGGGATATAATAACTTTGACAAAATTACAGAAGTTGTTACTAAGAGCATCCATAGCCAAATGTATTATTTCAAGGACTATGGCTCTGATTTTGCACTTACATTCATTTTACCATAGTGTAACTTACTGTCATCACTGCCAATTGATGCTAGTATAATTGAGATAAGACTTGTGCACTAGAAGTCTGTGCAAACTGTGAACACACCTGACTGGTACATACAGATGGGGGCTTTAGAAAGTTTGGAGGAGATTTAATATGGTTTGAAAGATAGAAAGGATATTGAGAGGATTTTTCTTTGTTCCCGGAGACAAAGGGCCTGCCCGAAGACAAAGGGCAGCCCCCAATGACTTCAGCAGGAGTTCTGTGTGCTCAGCACCTCTGAATATCAGATAGATCCTGATTAATTCAGATATCGTCCGTGCCAAACATAATGCAATTTTGTTTGTAGTGGTCTGAGTTTTTATTTTATAGTCATGTTCTACGTTCATTCCTTATCCCAAATACTTTTTATTTACAATACTTTGACTCTTCCTTTACCTGAATTTGGATAATGATGGTAGGAGTAGGAATTGGGAGAGGAACTTGGGTTTATATCCCATGACAGTTATAACTTACATTAAAATAAAAGCCCTCTTATTTGAGCCTATATAAATGTATAATCCCCTGTTCCATTCAGACAAATGTAAGGCCTACTGTAATAACTATGTTTCAGAAAGAAATATAAAGTGTAACAGTATCAGGTTGAAAGTAAAGTCATTAACTTTGCTTTTTCCTTAGCCTCAGTAGCATCTAACTTTAGGCCAAATCCTGCTTGTTGTACTCACCCGAGTAATCCCATTAAAGTTAACAGCACTACTTTCATGAGTAAAGTGAGCAGGATTTAGTCTTTTAATTTCTGTTTTCAACTCTCTAATGCAGCTTCCCCCCTACCTACCCCCCTCTTTTTTTTGCACACAGTAAAATAAGAGGCTTGGTGTACTTGATTAATCAAGTATGCTTTCCTTCAAATTAAACTGTGAGACAAACTCACTATTTTAATATTTCAAGGAGGCTGAGAATAGGTACTAGATCGTCAGCCATTATTCTTATCATAGTTTCTAACCAGTGAACTCAGAGGCAGTTAATCACTCACATGATTCTTAGGTCAGGCTGGTCCTAACATCACAAAGACCGTACTTTTATTACATCAGATTATTATAGTCATTGTTAAATATTTACTAAAGGCAGCAAGTCTGAATGGCAAAAAAGCTGTGTGGGTCTAATAGTGCTGGGAAACACTGTAATAATGGAAAGTGGGTGTGCATTAATACAGTATTTGCATTTTACCAGAGCAACTAGATGCCATTGAGCCAAAAAACCTCACATTTTCAGATCGCCTGGAAGGAAAGTTGTAGGCTCAGGCTAACACAGAGAAACTGGAGACAGCCAGCATCTCCCTGCGACTAAGAGGCCTGGCAAAATGGAAGCAACAATAGGTTATAATAGACTAAGGGACCTCCCCCCTCCCTTTTACAATCTTCCAGTGGAATGAATGGAATATAAATACCAGCCAATGGGAGGCCAGTTCCTGCTGTATATAAAACTGGTGAGGCTGTGGGGGTGAGACTCCACTTCATATAGGTCTCCCTGTGACAGCTTTGGGGGTGTAAGAGCAAGAACAAGGGCGGTTTCCTTTTCTGTGGTACCCGGTAAGTGCTGGGGGAGCTGACTGGCAATACTAAAATGGGAGGATGATCTATTTGGCCTGTTTTAGACAGTTTGATTTAATACAACTATTTCGAGGCAACCCCCCCCCCCCAAAAAAACCCCCTGAAATTGTAATCCAATGGGTCAATATTGTATTGCAGCTGAATGTATTGTTAGTGCTAGCTACCAAAGTGTCCGGAATGTGTCTCCGGACCCTGAAAAAAGGAGGGGAGGGGGGGGGGGGGGCTTATAGATAAAGGGAGAGATGGAAACAGATTATAATATGGACGCCCAGAATATAACCAAGGAAAAACCAAACCTAACCCGATGCAGGCACTGGAGGGTTTGTTAAACTGGATCGGCTCTAACTTTAAAGCCAGGCTAAGCCGCTATTTAGCAGGGTATTTACATAGATTCACCCCCACTCGGGTGACCCGAAGGGAGGCCTTTGTTACATAATGGCTTGGGGTAGGGGATTGTTTAACCCGCTCCCCAAAGTGGGTAGACAGTGCTTTTGGGATGGGCGAGCTCTCCCCAGCCGGGGCTCCCGCAGGGATTGGAGAGGGTCGGGCTCGCTTGCGCTGGGTGTTGGGGATCTTTGCCCCCCAGGCTTGGGGAAGCCGGAGGAATTTCTTTTTCCCCGGTCCTCACCTTCTCCCCTCCGGCGCTGGCTGGCCCAGGCAATCTGCTGCAGCTGGACGCTCCCTGCGGGATTTGATTGCGGTTGCAGCTGGGTCCCGGCTCCCCGCGGTGGGGGGTTGCCGGGGTGTTGCGTTCCCCTCTCTCCCCCCTGCAGGTGGGGCGAGATTGCATCGTCCTTCTGGCCCCGGCTGCTGAGCCTGGGGAGAGGGGCTGCATTGCGTTCCCTCTTCTAGCCCGGGGGGGGGGGGCGCTTGCATTGTACTGCACTGCACCCTCCCCGCCGGTGCTGGGTCCTGGGGAACGGCTGCTGTGCGCTTCCCACTGCCTCTCGGCGCAGGCAGGTTGCATGGCAGGTGCAGCATCACCCTCCCGAGCGCCCCCCGCCCGGTGCCGGAGGGAGGTAACGCGGCCGGGTCGGGTGCGCCGCAGCTCTCCTGCCTAGAAAAGCTGCAGCCCCGAGCTCGCGGCTGCGCCCCCTGCCTGGAGGTGGCCCGGTGCCTTGAGCTCGGGGAGCGGCCGCTGGGTGGCCGCTGCTGAGCCCGGCACCTCTGCTGGGGGCAGCTCGGCCACGCGGCTCTGGGGCTAACGCGGGTTCCCCCTCCCCTGAAAGGGCCCCGCTGGGGTAGGGCCGGGGAGAGAGCTCTCCGCAGGGGGGCTGGGCACTGCCTATACAGCCCCTGTGGGGGAGACCTGGCCTTTCTTCCCCAGACTAGGGCAAGTCCCCCACCCCTGGCTCCTCCCTGTGGGGAGAAGGGGGTAGCCCTGCCCACAGGGTGCCCTTGTTAGGAGGCCGTGGAAGGCGCCTTAGAGGCCAGGCAGTTAACTGGGCTGCAAGCAGGTGGAGTACATGCCAAGGTGACCTTGGTGCAGGCCATGGCGTCCTTCCAGCGGCTGCCTGGAAGGGCGTGCCAAGCACTGAAGGTGAGGTTTCCCCTTTCTTCTCCCCTAGCACCTTGCAGTCAGGCGTCAGTCATGCCATTCTCAAACAGCCACAACCTCCTGAAGATGAAGTACTCTGCTACGGATGAGTTCCCAGACCTGAGTGTTCACAACAATCACATGGCCAAGGTGCTGACCCTGGACCTGTACAAGAAGTTGAGGGACAAACAGACTTCCAGTGGATTTACCCTGGATGATGTCATTCAAACTGGGGTTGACAACCCAGGTAAAGGACCGAGCCTCTTGATCCACAAACATCTGTTCTCCCTCATTACAGGAAGTGTGTCTTGATAACAGCACCCAGGTTCCTTGAGCTGTGAAAATCTCTCAAGCAGCGAGTCCTGGCCCAAAAGCACTGCCCACTAAGGCTTAAAGGTGGCCTTCTCCCATTGAGCAATGCAGAGAACACTATAAATGCATGCAGTGTTCTGACAGACCAAACACTCAAATTATGTAACTGCTCTGCTAAATGCTTTGATCTGAAACAAAATCTGACTAAAAGTGTAACTTAGCTACGAACACCATGACTAAAAATTTGACATTCTGAGGGCCTACCTGGCTGCTCTGATCTCTCCTATTCCAAACTGGCTGTGAAGTTCTGTGGCACTTCTTTTAAAAAAAGGGGGAGCAGATTGATTAATGTGTTAACATTCCAGTATTTATTTTTACTCTAGCAATATCAAAATGGCCCAACTAAATAATCAGAGACTGCCTTCTGATGAGGAGTACCCGGACCTGAGCGCCCACAACAACCACATGGCCAAGGTGTTAACCCTGGACTTGTACAAGAAACTGAGAGACAGAGTTACACCCAGTGGCTTCACCCTGGATGATGTCATTCAGACTGGGGTTGATAATCCTGGTAAAATGCATTGAGAATATTATATGTGAACCAGCTGAAATCAGTCATGCATATGCTGACTAAGTTTGTGGAGTTGACTCTTGTGAGCAATGCAACTCCATCAGTAGCAGTCTGAACCAAAAATCAAGTTGTCCATGAAGTCCAAGCCCAGTGTACTATAATGGATGCAATATCTGAGCTGCCTGAGCATAAAATATCTGATTAAACTATAGCTAGTAAAATTGACCATGGACAAAAATCTTGTGCTGAACTAGATTCACTTGTCCAAACGTAGCTTATTGGCAACAGTTATAGGTTTTCAGTAACTTTACATTTCATCCAGCTAATGAAATGTAAAGTGTCTAAGATTTGTCTTCAACTGGTTCTTGTCTTGTGTGTGTGTAGGAATGTATTCCTAAGTGACTAGACCTACCATTATAAGGACAAACTTATCTGGTTAATGCTGTTCCGGGATACAGTCAAACGTCACCCAAATCTGGTTCTTACAATTCTGTTACCACTCCAGGCCATCCCTTCATTATGACAGTAGGCTGTGTAGCTGGTGATGAAGAATCTTATGAAGTGTTTAAGGATCTCCTTGACCCAATTATCAAGGACCGACATGGAGGCTACAAACCAAGTGACCAGCACAAGACTGATTTGAATCCTGATCACCTACAGGTATAGAGTCTTTCATCAGCAGTGGTCAGACATCTGACAAAAGTATAGAAAAGCCTGGGCAAAACTAAGTGTAGTTGCTTGTCCCTGTCATTCAGAATCTGTTCCTGTGACTTGCGTGACCACCTGTTAGAATCTGTTGTATTCCTATCCTATTGCTCTCTGGAGCCTGTCTCTCAGTAAGGACTCTTCTGCACAGGCTGGGTGGAACCACTTTTGAATGACTACTCCTGTCCTATCTGACCTGAGATACTGCTGTGACTTGGGGCTTGCCTACACTGCTGCGTGGGGTCGATCTAAGATATGCAATTTCAGCTATGTGAATTGCGTAGCTGAAGTTGACATACTTAGATTTACTTACTGTGGTAAGTTGACAGCTGACGCTCTCCTGTTGACTCTGCCTGCGCCTCTCGCCCTGGTGGAGTACCAGAGTCGATGGAAGACCTCTCAGCGGTCGATTATCACATTTATACTAGATGTGATAAATCGACACCTTCCCCCCCCATTTCCCCCTCCCTGCTGGATTGATTGCTGCCTGCCAATCCGGCGGGTAGTGTAGACAAGCCCTTAGTCCCCTCTGTCTAGTGGAACAGTCACAGCTTTCTCAGCTGTGTGAGCTTCAACATCCACATTTGTACTTGACTTCTGGGGCAGCCCTGTCTCACCCTGCAGGATCCTTAAGGATGACTCTAGGCTGGGTTCTGGTACACAAGTGGATCTTACAAACGACTTGACCTGTTGAAGTCACTACTATGTAGTTTGAGTTCAGGATCTTTCCAATTGTTCCAGAAATATTAAACTACTGGGAATCCCTAACAACATGTGTGAACGATCTGTAGCCAAAGTAGATTTTTAAAGTTGAATGGGAAGACTCTTAACTGTAGCAACCCGAGTTCATAACTCTGTTTGCTACCTACAAGAGTTGACTAGCACCTAAACACAACAAGGAGCTGCCTTATTTACAGCCCACTTCTGGAGGGGAAATAAAATCCTAAACTTGGGTAGAGACAAATACGGATCTAAACTTCTGTTAATGAGTTGATCTTTTCCAACTATTAGTAAAAGAAAGCAGCTCTAATGTATTGAGAGCACTGACACAAGAGGATTGTATGCATGCAGTACACTAGCTTATCCACTTAAAAATATGAAGTAGTAACATGTCTTGTGTTTGAGTTAATGTTAAAGCCTACGCAAATATTGAAGGCTTTGGGGTCAAATCATGCTCTGAAACCAATAGGGGCTGTGCATAATTCAGGGTAGAACTTGATGGCATGTTGCACTTCTCAATCTCTTATAGGGTGGTGATGACTTGGACCCCAGCTATGTGCTAAGTTCCCGTGTCAGAACTGGTAGGAGCATCCGTGGATTCTGTCTTCCCCCTCATTGTAGCAGAGGAGAGAGACGGGCTATCGAGAAGCTTTCTGTTGAAGGTAAAATGAAAGTTCAGTTATTATGGACTGGCTTTTGATGTGTGTCAAACTGAGGCTAACAATTGAGGAGGTAGAATATTTTTGCCTACCTCCTCAACTTCAAAACTCTCAAATATTAGGGCACCAAATGCAGAATTAGGAATCCGACAAATTATCACATGTAGCTGGATGTCTAACCTAATAACTAGAGCTTATTTCTCAACTGGAAGTGAATTGGAAGCCAGTAGAGGGCAATTGAATTGTATTAAGTAATGAGTTTCTGACCTTGATGGCCTTCCTGGCTGTGTGGGATAACAAATGAGCATGCATTCAACTAGAGCAGGTGTTGGACTTTTCAAATCCAGTGATGTATTGCAACACTCATGGTCTTAACTACAGCTCTTGCCACCTAGCTTTCCACTAGAATGACACTGTGGGAGTGGGCTGTAGGTTTCAATGGGATGTATTTTAGGAGATTGTCTTGTACAGTGGCAATGCTGTCCTCGTACTGAGACCACTCTGCTCAGGACTCTTCAATACAGAGAGTAATATTACTCTAACCTCTAAATGACTGGAGTGGCCTTGCTTATTCATAGCTAATACCACTTCCTGCTAGCAATATAGGTCCTATTAAATAACCCTAGTTGCATAGCTCATAAGAAAACAAATGCCCTTTTAAAGATATAAAGGCTACAGTAACTCCCAACAATGTGCAGCAGCCTGATAGTTCCTTCAAAGGTGAAAGAGCCAAACACTGCATGGTCCCTGACAGTAAGGGGAGGAAGGAAACAAAACAGATCCATTTCAGAAATGCCACCAGGCTTGTGTGTCTAGCCTCTCAATTGCTGGGACTGTATCAAAATACCACCTAGCATCCTGTCTGTGTCCTAAACATGAATCTTGCTTTCAGCCCTGGCTAGCCTGGAAGGTGACCTTAATGGAAAGTACTATGCTTTGAAAAACATGACTGATGCAGAGCAGCAGCAGCTGATCGATGATCACTTCCTATTTGATAAACCAGTTTCTCCTCTCCTGTTGGCTTCTGGAATGGCACGAGACTGGCCTGATGGCAGAGGCATTTGGTGAGTATATGCAATGGAAACCAGAATCCTTTAAAAATGTCTGCAGTGGGTACCAGGCAGAAATCTGTGGTCCTGAATAATCTAGCTGAATGAAACAGTGTTCACTTGGCAGAAACTTGCATATTGTCTTTGCTTTTAAAGGGGTATTTGAATCTGCTCTGACTTAAATGTGAGCTTTAATATCTGCTTCAGTGGGCCACAAGATCAAGCCCATAAAGCTAAAATTTAAAAAGCCCTCAAACTTTAAGTTCACCCCCATTGGTATGGCTGTTGCTCTCAGCCTCTTTACTGGGGATATAAGAATTGCTCCACTGCAGAAATAATTCATTTAAGGGAGCAGGGAGGCAGCTTAAAATCCATTAATGGTGAACTAGTGGCATTGTCACTATGATTAACGCAATCTAGCCTTTTGGAATTGAAAAAAATAACTGCAGTAAAAATGGCTTCACTGAAAACACAAGGCAGGAAAAGCAATGCCTTCTGCAGCAATATAATCAAAGCAAACCTAAAAGGGGACTAGTGTCAGTCTTTCTGCTTATGGTGAAGAGAAGACTTGGCCTCTTACGTGGCTTTTTTGCATTGGAAACATCAGGCCTTCACTTTTCTGTCTAGAAAGCTAGCAGTATGCCTTGACACAGGAACAAGTAAAGGGAAGGAGTTAACTTGTCAGACCTCTAACACCCAACCAACTAGTGGAAGAAAAGCTTTCACAAGAACATTTTAAGTATCTTGTTCTCCTCTACACTGAAGGTTGAACTCCTGCAAATGTTCCCAGGTCAACAAGAGTCACTAAAAGCTTCTTGCTACACTCAGTAGAATTCCTCCAGTCTTATGCAACAGTGGGATCTTGAACGCATTTGTAGGTCACCTTTCCAAGAGAACACTCATCACCTGCCTGCAAGAGATAACACTAGATAGCTTTGTCGACTGAGCCATGACTCTAAAACCTTAGTCTCTGATTAAATGGAAGCTTTTAACACGCTATGTAACCTTCATCTTGACAGCTAACCAATTCAGTACCCAACTTGATTGCTGTCGAGGACTAGCTTATCAGTACTGCAGTATGAATTTTTTTTATCTGGCAGCAGCAACTAAAATCCAAAGGCAAGGGCAGATGGACCAATGGGTCACCAGGCTTGCAGCATTCTTCCTTCGAAACTGCAGCTTAAAATTAGTATCCAAAATTTTGCTTCTTAAATCTACTCCACATGCTGAGTCCTTGCTGCATGTAAGGTAACTTAACTGTCTTGTCAAGGTCCGTTAGGTTGCACCTCATGTTTCCTTGCATACCATAGATGGTGTGAGAGAGAAGGTGCAGACTGCTGCCCTAGCAGGAATATTTGCTAATGTATTTCACCCCTTACGCTGCCTGACAGTGACTCCTTATGGAACAAAGGGACTGAATCTTTCTGTCCCAGGGGACTTGCAAATTAATTTAAGACCTGGCATGGCATCAAGGTTGAGCAATAAAATCATAGGAAAGGGTGCACAGGATGTGCACATCTTGATGGCTATAGTCTAAGACTTAGGTCATGTCTAAGCAGGGTGGAGGAGGAGTCAAATAACCATTCTTCAGATGTTAAGGGCAGAAAAAGCTGAATTGCATCTTCCTTTGATGTTTTGGGAAGGTCTCTATATGGAGTTGATTTGACCCTTTAACCTACAAGGGCAGATTCAGAGTTAAAACTAAATCTAATGTAACTGTCATGTAAGAGTAAATGATGCTAAAGTCAAAGCATATCTTCAGTACAACATGAACTCTTTACAATGGGTTAGTCCAAATAAGAGATGGACTGATTTAGATTTCCAGGTGGCAATCCAAGTGAGTAAAACTCTACTGCAAATGGAGAAAGGGGTTGTTTGGCTTCTGTCTTCCAGGCACAATGACAACAAGACCTTCCTTGTCTGGATCAATGAGGAAGATCACCTTAGAGTTATTTCCATGCAGAAAGGTGGCAACATGAAGGAAGTGTTCACCCGCTTCTGTACTGGGCTAACACAGGTGAAGTTAACCTTTGTAACAAGAAGCCTAAAGAGAATTGCTCTTGCCTTAAATGGTGCAGGACTTGATGCAGTGCTCAGAGTGCTGACTTAAAACAGGCTCTAAAAATATACTGCCATGTACTGCTACTGTGTGGCATGGAGTCTCAGTGCAAGTAGAAGTCCTGTATTGTGCTTGTGTAAACATCTGACAATGTAGCTTAGGCATCTGGTAGCATCTTAGTGTATCTTTCCACAAATAAATTCCAGGGGTGTACAGGCTCAAACACCTACTCTGACAAAGTAGGTTATTATTATGAAGCCTAGAGGAAGGTCCTCTAACGTCCTGATTGGCTTCCTCCTCTTACATGGGTTTTCATTAAAACATATGAACTACCACTGCCTACAGACAAATAATGGAACATGTCTTGAGGCTCAGTAAATGTGTAGTGGTGCTCCACTACATCAAGCACCTACTTGGAGCCCTAGGTACCTTAGCTAACTCACTAGTGTGAGGGGGAAGTAAAGCCAGCACTTCCTCCCCACGTCCACCCATGCAAAGAGGAACAAACTCCACTAAATCAAGCTTGGCAACATCACTAAATATCCACTCTTCCCACAAGCCCATGTCAACAGATGGGCTTAGATGCTACCCTGAAAGCCACTAAATATAGACTCATTCAGACACTGGGGAACAAAGTAAGTTCAAAGATCTGTTTGGGGGGGATGCCCTGCTGGTTGCCCCCACTTCTAAATCCAGGGGTCTTTAGCTTCAGAGGTTCCACTGATAGCAGCTGTTCAACTCAGGTCATACTGCTATCTGGGGAGGGACGGTGAATCATGGAGCTAGATACATTAATGAGACTGTAAATGGTCCTCAAATTCTTAAACCTTTGAGAGACTGCCTGGTCTGTTTCTCCGCTAAAGTTGTTGTCTTCTCTCTCTAGATTGAAACTCTCTTCAAGACCAAAAACTATGAGTTCATGTGGAATCCACACCTTGGCTACATCCTGACCTGCCCATCCAACCTTGGGACAGGTCTCCGGGGTGGTGTACACATCAAACTACCTAACCTTGGCAAGCATGAGAAGTTTGGAGAAATCCTCAAGAGGCTGAGGCTGCAGAAGCGAGGCACTGGTGAGAAATGGAATCATAGAATATCCAGGTTGGAAGGGACCTCAGGAGGTCATCTAGTCCAACCCACTGCTCAAAGCAGGACCAATCCCCAACTAAATCATCCCAGCCAGGGCTTTGTCAAGCCTGACCTTAAAAACCTCAAAGGAAGGAGATTCTATCACCTCCCTAGGTAACCCATTCCAGTGCTTCACCACTCTCCTAGTGAGAGTTTTTCCTAATATCCAACCTAAACCTCCCCCACTGCAACTTGAGACCATTACTCCTTGTTCTGTCATGGGCTACTACTGAGAACAGTCTAGATCCATCCTCTTTGGAACCCTCTTTCAGGTAGCTGAAAGCAGCTATCAAATCCCCCTTTCCTCCCAGTTCTTCTCTTCTGCAGACTAGACAATCCCAGTTCCTTCAGCTTCTTCTCATAAGTCATGTGCTCCAGACCCCTAATTTTTGTTGCCCTCCGCTGGACTCTTTCCAATTTTTCCACATCCTTCTTGTAGTGTGGGGCCCAAAACTGGACACAGTACTCCAGATGAGGCCTCACCAATGCCAAATAGAGGGGAATGATCACGTCCCTTGATCTGCTGGCAATGCTCCTACTTATATAGCCCAAAATGCTGTTTGCCTTCTTGGCAACAAGGGCACACTGACTCATATCCAGCTTCTCATTCACTGTAATCCCCAGGTTCTTTTCCACAGAACTGCATTAATCACTTCCTTTAAATATTCTATTGGCAAGTAGGTTTGGAGCCTGAATTACTCAGAAGCAGTGTCTAGAAGACTAGTTCCCAGTTCATACAGTCAGGGCCATCCCTAGTAAGGGTGCAGGGCCCAGGACAAATCAGCCTCCCCACTAGTCTCCTCACAATCTGCCCCACCCGGCCACTGCTCACCACCACCTCTTCCTCACAACACCACCCCCACCTCCTGCCTGCCTCCCCCCCCACTCACCTGTCCATCTGGCATGCCTTCCCCCCACATCCACCTGACCACCACTCTCCTCCTTTCTGCCTGCCTCCTCTCCTGTCTGCTGCTCACCTCCCCATTCACCTCCTCACCTCGCTCACCCTCCAGCCTCACCTCCCTGCCCACCTCTTCACCTGAATATCAGGACAAATGGTGCCCTGATCATGCATCGGTTGGGATGCAGGCAGGGGTGAAAGTAACTTAAAGGACTTACCGGTACACCAGAGTCCTGAGCAGGGGCATGGTCTCAAACGGAAGAGGTGGGGCCTTTAAATCTTGATTTAAAGGCCCTGGGGCTCCAGCTGTGACTGGGAGCCCCAGGGCCTTTAAATCACCCTGGAGCTACCAGGTTCAGAGGCAGCTGGGAGCTCAGGGGCAAATTAAAGGGCACGGGGCTCCACCCATGGCAGAGCTCTGGGTCCTCTAAATCACTGGCAGCCCTGTTGCTACTACCCTGGGGCTCCGGTCGTGATTTAAAGGGCCAGGGCTCCCCTCAGGGCTAGAGACCCAGCCCTTTAAATCACCACCAGGGAAGCCAGTCCAGTCCAGCACAGCATACTGTACAGTATGCCAGACTGTACCAGCTTACTTTCACCTCTGGATGCAGGACAAAGGGCTAAATATCAGGACAGTCCTCATTTTTATCAAAGCACAGGGGCCCAAGGCAGTTGCCCCAATTTGCCCTACCCAAGGGATGGCTCTGCATTCAGTAGAGGGACAGCACTCCAGGATGACTTATAAAAAAAAAAAGTCTACTATGTGGAGGCAAATGGCATAGAGGTCTACAGAACTGCACTGCAGCATGCTATTAGCACCATTTACAGTCCTTGTCCAAATCCTCCCCTTGTGCCTATGGAATAGACAGCTTACCCACTGGGAGTGCCCACAGCTACAGTCATGGCTAAGGAAAGTGTGTGTTTTTGGTCCCACAAGAACAGTTCATCACTTATATCAAAACACTCTAAAAGCATCAAGCTACCTGGCTTCTGTCCAGTAGAATGCTATGCCAATGATGCAGATAATCCTAGGCACAGAGGCTGAGTTACTTGCAAAGGGTCACTCATAGTGGTAAAGCTGGGAGGGGGAGAGTCCTGTGTCCTAGAACTTGTACTGTACTACTAACTCAGCAGCAAACTGGAAGCATCCCTCTGTTCAAGCCATGCCCATCCATCTTCCTGTCCATAACCAGGTATGAATGCAGTAGTCCCAGTTGCCAGGCCAGCAAGGGAAACTTTTGCTCCAAGTGGACTCTTGCTATGGTCTCTCCAGCAGTACACAAGATGTGAAGGACTTCACAAATCTAAACTGAATCTCCTCTTTCTTCAGGGGGTGTGGATACTGCTGCTGTTGGAGGAGTGTTTGATGTCTCCAATGCTGACCGGCTAGGCTTCTCTGAGGTAGAGCTGGTGCAGATGGTGGTTGATGGTGTGAAGCTACTGATTGAAATGGAAAAACGCCTTGAAAAAGGCCAGTCCATTGATGACCTCATACCAGCTCAGAAATGAAAGCACTTTAATTCCATGCTTCCTAACTTATTGGATGAATAATAAACATCACTCCAATCAAAGTCCTGGGGTGTCAAACCCACTAGTAACACTGTAGAACAGTCTTCCATCCATCTGTGTTAGAGTTTATTTTTTTGATGGCTGAGATGTTGCTGAAAAAACTGAAATAAACTATTGTTTTGGCCTGATAAATGTGTCTTAATTAAACCAAATCTGTCTGAATACTAAAATCTAGCATGGCAGCACAAGGCAGAGTGACATTTGGCTGTTTCTTCCAGCTTTTTGGAGTGGCAGGACTTAGTGTTGTATCTTCCTAGCTGGGCTGCTTCCCTCAAAGTGAATTCTGAACTTGATACACCCACTTGCAGTTCTAGGGGAACAGTCTTTCCACCACCTGTGATGTTAGTTGTTGCTGTAACTTTTTTTTTAAATCCTGGTAAGTGGCATAAAGAACAAATGTTCAGACTTCAGTTAAAATATTCTCCTGTAAAACTGCCACATCTCTAAGACCTGAGCATGTGCCGTCAGCCCTTGAACTCACTTGCTGTATTGTTTGTAAATTCTTTCAGTATCTTGACAATGGTAAACTGATTTGTGGCTTGTCATACCAGGGCCACCTTACTGTTAAAGGGGCTGTTTGCAGTCACACAGAGGGGCAGCCAATACATGTTGCTTCTCATGGCCTAAAGCTTGTTCTAATAGCTCTACTGATGCCTAGGTCAGTAGGAATTGAAACTAAGGAATTAACATTCTCTAAGTCTAGACAATAGATAGTAGGAGAGCGGGGTGTAATAAAGGGCTCCAAATTGAGTCACCAGTATTACCCCCCACCCCCACCCCAGTTCTTGGTTTGAAGGGGTAATCCATCACATGTTGAAGGAATGCTAAAGGAGTAGTCAAAAACCTGCCTTAACTACATTACTTTTGCAAAAGCATGCATACTAAATACTTTCTCCTAGTTTCAACATGTATCAGAGACTTGTACACCAACTGTTGGGGAAGCTGGGAGAGTGTCAGTTGCTTGTTAATACACTGCCTGCTATAGAGTCTTTCCCTATTCTTACAAATAGCTCTCAGCTGAGAGCTAACAAAGAGCTTGGGCTTCAGTCAGCTTCCTCAACCTGAAACCGAGCAATACACCAGCCTAAAACAAACTATCTCTAGTCAAGCTGGATCTTGATGCAGCTTGTTGGTTCCATAACCATTCTCAAGCTGTGGGTGAAAACATTGTATGTGGTAGCAACTCAGTCTCTCCTGCTATAGAATTACTATAATTAACCTGCACTTATAATTACTCATACAAGCAATTATCCCAGAGATGGTGGTAGCAGGGTTGGTACTGGGCCAGAGCTCAGATACAACCCCCCCAGAGTATGAGCTCATAGCTGTAGTCTCTTCTAAACCAACAGTTATATAGAGGAGGCAAGCTGATAGTTTGGGCATGCAAAGTTGTGCTTCATAATGTGTGGTTTTTAGAACACTCATGTTGCTGATTTAATCTTTACCTTGCTGTATCCTTAAATGTCATAAACAGAACTTCAGTCTCACATTGGAATAAGCTAAGATGCTAGTCAGTGTAAATGTAAATCTCAGTGAAGGAAGGCTGGTGGCTTTCCCATTTAGACCATGTCTACACTACAAAATTGTTGACCTAACTTATGTCAGTATGCAGCCATTGTAGTTATTAAATTGTTTGTGTGTATGGACACTTGGCTCTTTGTCAGCAATGTGCATCCTCACTAGGAGCATTTGTATCAATTGTATTGTCAGGGGGGGCATTGTGGGATGGTTCCTAAAAGCCAATAACAGGCAAAACTGTGCTTACAATAGGGGAAAATCTGGACTGTCAGATGCTTTTGAATGGACCATAAAATCTTTTTAATTTTCTCTGGAGTCTGGACCTTGACTATACCTTGGCCAAGAAATTTGGACCTTGACAGAAAATAATCAACTATCCCTGGTGTACATGGACACTGCATCAATCTAATTACATCAGATGTGACTCTCCACTGCTTGGGGAGGTGGTATTGCTAAATAGGCACAGAGAGGCACTTAAGTCAATGGGAGCCAAATTTAAGTGATGACACTTCCACAGCTAGCCTGCTGCAAGGGGCTTGCATTGACCTAATGCTGTAGTGTAGACCAGGCTTTAGAGGTGGTATTTCTTTATTCTGTCAGCATGGTTAAAATGCAGTGCTGAAGATGGGGCGGAGCTTCTTCACAAGAGGCTTGATGCTATGTACGAAGTGTGACATTTACATGTTGGAGGCATTCAGAAAAAGAATGTTTTCTTTACAAGGCTGAGGAGGAGGAGGGGGAGAGAGGGTAAAACCCACCTGCTATTTCTGTACATTCCTGGGAGACTTCTGACTTCTGTCCACTTCATGATTCCACACATGCTTGGCAGGTGGCTGGAGTCTCATCTAACAGGCATGGAGTTTTAATTTAAGAGTGCCTGTCCACACTACACACAACAGCACTGCTGCAATCGTTGCTAATGTAAATCTAGTTGTACCAGCCAGGCCTTATTTTTCTTCTGCTGTCTCCAAGAAGGTAGACAGAATCTGTAGGTGAAGCAAATAAATCTGTAGCCAAAATTGCAGGACAGTCCTTATTTCTTAGATCTAGTTAAGGAAAATAATTCTCTTTAGTCTTTGTTTCCACCACTGGATCATTAGCTGAATTCTCATCTCTCTGCCATGAGGAATAATAAGAGCATGGTTTTGGTTTGAACTTGTATAAAGCAATTGTGAATATCCTAGAGAGTAATCCTGTTGTGGCAGAAGGCTGGGCACAATGACCTAACAGAACTGGTACCCACCTAATGCTTATGATTCAGGAAAGAAATAAAACCTATCAAATTATCTTAAAAGTTGTAACATATAGTTTTATTCTTAGCAATACTCTGAAGCACTGTTCTACCTAGTTTTATTTTCATGGGTAAATTGTAGGACTACTAATCATTGGTTAGGTCTGCAAATATTTTACTCTTATGCTGTGGGTCAGATAGTGAAGTTCACAAATGTAAACACACTCTCCCTTCCCACCCTAGGCAACAGTGGTTTCTCAGGTGAGTTGTTGGGACCTTGCACTATTCAAGCAGAAGATCATAAACAGCTAGAGGTTTTATAATGTATCAATGCAAAAAGTGTTTCTAATGGATTCATTAGTATCACTCAGTTTCCTTAGATTAATGGTAATCAAAGTCTCTGTGTAGTTGGAGAGGACCTCCAATAGGTTGTTCATTTAATTCCCTGCATCATGATCAAAGTGACAATTATTCTTAGAGACCAGGTGAGTAATGTCTTTTATTGGACCAGCTTCTGTTGATGAAAGCAAAAAGCTTTTGAGTTACTTCTTCAGTTCTGTGTAGAAGTTGGTCCAGTAAAAGATGTTACCGCACCCCCCTTGTCGCGGTACTGTCCTGGGACCAACACCGCTACAACAATACTGCGAACGTTAATTATTCTTAGCCATTTCTAATGGCTAGGTGCTATTTCTAGCCCCAAGTAGCTCCAATTGGTGAGGTCACAAGCTTCCTTGATTGCTGGATGCATGGCCTGTCGTTTCCCCTAATATTTAAACAAATTATTCTTTTCTACAGATTAACAGTGATGCTTGTTGCGTTCTCTCCACTAGGAAGAATAATTGATTCCCTGCTCTGGTTATGGCAGTCCCTTCTGTACCTATAGACTGTTATCCTGTTGTCTCTCAGGCATCTGTTCTCCAGACTGAATGTGCGCACTTCTCAAAAGCTTCCCAGTCAGGTTTTTATATATATATATATTCTTCTCTTCTGAACTTTCTCTGGTTTTTCTCTTTTGGATTCTGCAGCACCTGTCAGTGTAGGACTCTTCTTCAGGGCTAGACTCTTCTTCAGGGCTAACACATGCATAGTAAAGTGGAACAATTACATACCACTTCTGTTAAATACAGCCCACGCCAGTATGATAGTTGCCCTTTGTGCAAGTTGCGTTGTTGATTCACATTCAATGCAGCATTCGCTATAATCCCAGGATCCTTATCTGACAAGGGATTTAGCCCTCGCTTTGTATTTATTGGATCCCAAATGCGCACACAGTGAGCTCCCCACGCAATTTGTGTTCCTGCCATGTGACTGAAGATTGCTCATGATTTTTAACCATTTGTGTATCCATTTTATAGCAGTGCCAGCTAGTCCACATTTCTCTTGTAGCCCTGTGAGCCTGTCACGAGGCAATATGTATAAAATGACCTACTAAACTGACGATGTATGTTGTCTGCATTGCCATTATCCATGAAGAGTATACCTGGTTTAAGAAATAATTATATTAAATTGGGTTGCCATGATTTATGGCTTTATTAATTGTTATAATCCTTTACCTAGTATCACAGATAAATGCCCTGGTCTGTAATGCTCTGGATCCTCTTTCCACTCATAAGCGTTTTGCTTGTTTGCCTTTTCCCACTTCTCTGGCATTTCATCTGTCCTACCCCCTCAAACATCAGAAACAACTGTCAAAGGTTTGCTAGTACTTTTTGTCCCATGACTACAGGGGTGTGCTGCTTCACCTTTAATGGTCCCTTGAAATATGTGCTAACTACTTACGCTAAACTATATGTTTGAGCTTGTATTTAGCTGGAACATGCTTCATACCTTTCCCAGCCCTGAAGAAAAGTTCTTGTGTAGCTTGGAAAGCTTGTTTTTTCTCACCAACAGAAGTTGGTCCAATGAAAGGTATTATCTCACCCATCTTGACTCACAAAGATTAATTGGCATCGGTTGTTCGGCATCGTGTTTGCTCTTGCCCTGTTAAATAGGTCTGTAGGCTCCTGTGGCATGCTCTTGCTTCTTATGTATTACCTTCATGGGCAGCGTGTGAACCGTGGGCTGGGGGAGGCTAGCGCCCAGCCCCACCCCTTTGGCACCCCCCTGCCCAATCCCAGAGCCCCCCCCCCGACTGCAGCTGCTAGCCACCGCTGCAGCTAGCTCCCCTCCCAGCCCCAGAGCACCCCCAGCCTCCCTCCCCAGCCTTGGAGTGGGCGGTGTGGCCAACCTCCCCCCCCCCCTACACACACACAGCTCCAAGCCAGGGCCACCCCATAGGGAGACTGGAGCAGCCACATGGAGTAGAAGCAGGAGTGGGGGCTAGGGCAGAGTGTGGATGGGGACACGCCTGGCTGTTTGGGGTGGCACAGCCTCCCCCAGCCTA